GCTCCTGTATTGTGCTAGCTAAGTAGTTATGATTGGCAGCTCTTGCAGCTTGTTGTTTAGTATAAGGAACTGTAGAGGATGCCCTTTTTGTCGCGGTTTATTGACCTCCTCACTGAGCAAATTCCTCCATCTTTTTACTAGAAAACATTATGCCAAGCCAGTTATTTCTTTTTATTATATAATAGTTTACATTTTATCATTAATGAATTTGTTCAACTTTATACATAGGAATGGATCTACAGCAACATATAAAACATTATCTTGATAACAATGAATTTGCGAAATGGAATCTCTTAGGACTTTTACAATATTTGGCGACTATTATTATATATACAAATGAAGATGTAGATGATATTATTTTAGTATTCAAAGATCAATTGAAACTGCTAAGTGGACTTCAAAATCTAACAAAGTCAGCACGAAACAAGGCAATTAAGCTTTCTGATAACTTGGAAGCACATCGAAAATGACCTGAAATAAAACAATTTTTAATCAACCTGGATGTTAAGTTTGCACAGGTTTGTTAAAATTATTTATTGTTTGCTTTAATAAAATACTAACTTGGGAATTTTTAATATATATATGATCATTATAAACAAATGTAAGAAAAAGTATTCTAACAGACAAAACAACAGCAGTTGTAACAAGTAGTGAAGAATTCGCAAAAGTAAGCATGTCACTAACTGTTGAAAGTGGACAAATTTAATATTCGATGATTATGCGATTCTGTCAGATTAATTTGAAACCACATTAGATTGTCAGAAAAAATTTTCCACATCAAAAGATGATATATCGAACCAAAATGTGGGTATTCTTTCTTTTCTTTATCATTATCCATGTCAACCAAATACTTTGCAGCATTGACAAATATCTTAACTTCATGAATTTATTTAATATGCTTATTCAGGGAATAATAAATATTTATATACAGATAAAAAGGTAATAAAGCTCTTCATGAGAACTAGATGACTTATTGACAACTTATTTGGTTTGGAAGTTGGTGTGAACTTATTAAATCATTTGGCTTGCAAGCTGGTTCATGCAGAGCTTTATTTTAAGTCAAAGAAACATTATAGACTTTATTTTCATGCATATCTTTTTGTATTCAGTTGAAAAATCTATCAATGACCTGGATATTTGAAATAGGAAATGAAGAAGGTGATGATGATCAAAAAGAAAATGATATGTTAATTTCATTAAAACACTATACTTTGATTTAATTTATAGGTACCATCGAACCTTGTTATAATAGATTTTTATTATAATGAGGTTTGGCTGTATTTTTAATAAATTGTACTAAAGAATTATATTTGTTGTTGATTATATAATAGAGTCTGGCAGAAAATATCTTTGGCAAATGGTCCTTAATATCCGAAATGATGAAGAAAATATGTCTTGAACATTCAAAATTTTATAATGATGATGTAGTAGTTAATTTGAATCCAAAGTCAAACTTTTATCTTAAGTGATATATATAATGTTCTAATTTCTTAAACTCTCCTTTTTTAGTTGGTCAGTTAAGAATATAATCTCAAACTTATTATAAAAGTTGATTAGTAGTCAAAACCCCAACCATAACAGAAATAATGGCACAGAGTTATGTTGGCAGATTGGAACAGCAGAATAAAGACTTAAAATAGCAACTATCCAGTGCTAAGGAAGAAATCAATTCTCATTTGGAAGCATTAGAAGTTTCAAGGATTGGCATAATAAGCAAAAGCAAGACTTGAAAGTGAAGTTGAACAGTTAAAAAACAGCAGACTCAACTAACTGCACAAATTGAAGTTAAAGAAACTAAAAAATGACCTTGATTGAAAATAAAAGGTAATTAAAAATTAACAAAGTTGAAAAA